GTTTTGGCGTGAAGCAATAGTGAAGAATACCAAACTGTTGTCCTATGGCAGGAGCATGTAGTGTAGACTTAATCCTGTATTTTGATGTCTAGTGGAGCTAAATTAACCTCATGCATCCTACATACAAAGTCACCAGTGATTTAAAGCCAAAAACCTAAAAAAAAGTGCTTTAAAGCACACTGTAGCTTTCACTTTTACAAAAAGTTGACCCATACAAAGAATAACTTAGATTAACTTCAGATACCTTCAGTGCAATTAATATAATAATTTTATGGAGGTGTTCATGCCTATAACGTGCATCAGTCAGAACTCACTGTTAACTACAATGACAGGCAGATTGATACTGACAATGTGTTAATTTTTTTTTTTTTTTAAGCACCATAAGGGACTTGAAGGGAGTATTCAGAAACAAAATGCATTGCCAGTTTAATATAGGATTTGTTTTCCTAGGCTAGACCTTCGCATTAAACTGGTTTTAGTCATTTGTTTTGACACTTCTAGCTCATTTACACACTGCTTCCCAAAAATGCTTTATTATGGCAGGCAATCTATTTTTAAACCACCTTGATTTAAAAAAAAAAAGTATCATTTTATTACTTGATCTGAACATCTTGAATTTCTGCTAAGGACTACAGAATTATTCTTCCACGTGCTTTTACTATTTTGTATCTTATTTACTGAGCCAGATCTACTTTTCCTTGGCTGAGGTTTAAATTTTCTATCCTTCAGTGTTGGACACAGCACGTAAAAGCAGTTGGACACTCCCCTTCTGATCTGGTTTCACTCCAAGTTATTTTCTAAAGTTTTTTCTTTTTCTTCCTGCAAAATCAGTTTGATTTTACTATCATCTTTGTTGAAAGGTCAAGGAATGGTTAAAGCTTACTTATTTGTTTGAGTCCCTTTGAAAATTGTTTTCGCCAAAGTAAAAATCTGTGTGGTTTAATTTCCTCCAGGAAATACATGCATTGTTGTGTAGAATAGTACAGAACACTGATCAAGACCTAGCAGGTTGAATATAATGGTCTTCCTGGCTCTACTTTGGGGTTGGCCTTTTTTTTTTTTTTTTTTAGAACAAAGCTGTGTAGTTTTTCATGAAGTGTAACTAACTCCCTAATTCAGCAACTCTGTGCTGAAGGGGCTCTGAAGCTCATTTATTAAACTCAGAGTGTGTTTGTGGTGAAGTCCTGTGGCCTTGGAGTCCTCCTTGCAGCCCTGATCTGCTCCCATTTTGAGATTGCAGATTGAGTGCAGGCTTGGGGGGGGATGGAAAACCCTGCCCTGGCCATCCCTCTGGCTGCTCCTTCAGGCACTTGTGGAAGGGTGCAATTGCAGCTGTGGCTATTTACTCCTTTTCTGACTTAACGTTGGCAATAACGTAACTCTGGCCTTGAAGGCTTACTTATATAGGGAAACCAAATTAATTAAGTAAGTGTGAATGTGACTGGCAAATCCTAATTTATGGTTAAAGGTGAATGTTTACAGAATGATTTTAAGCTTGCTTTTGAGAGACCACACATGCCAAGGTTGATTCAAACAAAAATAATGGGTTGTTTACCTGAAAACTTTAAAAAACAAAACCGAAGTGTTCCTCACCCTTTCTCTTGGGGGAATCTAGTGGTTTTGGGTATTTTTGTCCAGTACCAGAACTTTAATTGTTTCATGGAGTCCGGCACTGCAACCTTCCTGCAAAATTCATGAACAAAGTGACTTGTCCTCATGCTGGTTACAGTTTACTTTTTTTTTTTTGTGACAATCACCTTTTCTAGGTAACTGGGCAATGCCCACAAGTGTGCACTCCGTAAGCATCTCAGAATGAAGCCTGTCAGAGCTGTGAAGTCTGGATTTATGACTTGACCACAAGCATTCAATGACTTTGTATAAAAAATTCCCTTTCTCTTGGCTGACTGCAGCCCTTGTTTCACAGGAGTGAAATCGCTCTCCTTTGCTTTTACATAGTTGAAGGTGCAGTGGTTTTTTTGGGGGTTGTGTTTTCTTTTTTTTACTAGAAACAAACCTCAACTAATCAGCTTTGAAGGTACAATCCAAGGCACTAGCTTGGGACTGGCAAAGGAGATGATTAGCTGTACTTTAAAGCGTTATGATGTTGCCATTAAGTTGCACGCTGAAGTTTCTTGTTGGTTAGGCTCTACAACACAACTAAAAGCTTTAAGTCCATCATGGGGTTAGGTTTTGGGGATGGTGTATTTTCATAGACAAGCTTATACAAGCATAAGCTGCAAAGGGAACTGCATTCCTCCCCTACCCCCCAAAAAAAAGCAACAGCAGAGAAGAAAGCTTTTAAAATGACAGGTATTGCCCAGCCTAGCTGTGGGATTTGTCAGTAAAAGAACATCCACTAACGCTTAGGCTCTTCCTCCGCCTGGAACTGAGGGATCATAGTTTGTCACCTCGGTAGCGTGGCAATGCCTGAAGCAAAGGCTGCTCTGAACACAAACTGGTTTCCTTTCTGTCTAATGCTTTATCTCCCACAGAAACCCACATCCCTGTTAAACTCCAGGAGCAGCAGTTTACTGCTGCAGGCTACTGCTGCTCAATTCAGGAAAGCATTACCTGGTCTCCATCAGGAGCAAGAGCCAGCCTGCGTCTTCCCTTCCTTCCCTCTGAAAAGGCTTCAGAATCCAGTATTTTGAGCGTGACAAAAGAAAAACCTTACTGTGTTTAGGCAGGGTAGCATTTTGCAATATTTGTACAGTCATTTCTCAACAGAAGAAATTAAGATAAGCCTAAACAAAATTCTTTAATAAGTGGGAGAATTTTTAGACAAGGGAAGGTCTAAGACTCACTAAACACTTGGCAAGAGACTAGTCCTAGAATACAACCAGTCTTAAGGAAGACAAATTGAAGGTTGGCTTAAACAGACCTAAAAAAGCACCAGAAAGGAGGTTGAACATGTGTGTTCAATCACAAATTCACAGCGCTGCAATTGGTGCGCCAGTCACTGGGAGGTGATTAACCCCTGTAAGCCATACAGAGAAAGGAGCTGCTGAGCCAGCAAAGTCTGCGGGGTTTACTCTACAACGCTGTGGTCATGTTCTCAGCTCAGCATGCAAAGAGCAGTAATGTAAGTATTGGGGGTTTCCACCTGTCTGCAAGGGGAGAGCAGGAAGATTCGAGCCTGGGGGAAGTGAACGGGGCCATTCCTGGAAGGCAGCCACAGCTGTGGATGGACTTGGGTGGGGTTCTGTCCACCTAAATAAGGGACACCTGAATGAAGTGACACTGTCTACACAACCAGCCCTGTAGAGGCCAACAGGACAGACAGCAGGTGTAAAGTATTCCCCCTCTTTGCTTTCAGCCCTATTGATCATTCATCTGTCATACTTTTCTTTGACAAATACCCAGTCACATGAAAAAAATAAATCAATATTCAACTTTAAGAAAGCTGGCTCACATTCCAAGATCCACTTCAGCCTTTCATGGGCTGGGTTTCCCCAATACCTCAGTGCACCAGAGGGAAGAGAAATTCACACGCAAATCTACAGCCTTACGCTCTTTCACGTTGTTTTTCTTCACACTTTGGGGGGGGAAAAAAAAAAGTTGTATACAACACTATTAGGGTTTTGTTGTTGTTCGTTGTTTTTATAAAATTTGTCAATATCACAAAGTTACAGACACTAAGAGCTTGATCTGCACATTTTCCAATGAAAAAGTGAAAGGAAACACCTTAAATCTATTACTTGTATATACAATTTCAATCCAAATTTACATTCGCGTCATTTTCTTGGAGAGCAAAAGGCATGGATCCAACAACACAGGATGGAGGCGCGTCACTTCAGCATAGTTGTAGGATATTACTTCAAATATTGGTATGCATTCATTTAGATTCATTTAGAACAGGCCACTTCCAAAAGGCTCAATTTTGTATTGAAATTGTATCAACTGTCAGGAAGGCCGCTGCTAACGTGCCCTCCTCTGCAATGCAAATATTCATCATCTGTTTCGTTGAGGATTCACAAGACAATGACTGAGAAGTTAATGGGCTTGTTATTTTAAACCCCCTACGTGGCTGTGCAGTCATTAGGACACCTGCATGGATTAAGGCATTGGTGCTAGCCATACCTTTTTAACTTTAGAAGTTAACTGGAGTCATTTCTGCAGTTAATTAACAAAGCTGAAATTCTTCTCGCCTAGTCTTGGAAGAGATAAGTTACCCACTCAGTTCTTTTTGAGTCTTTAAAAACAAAGGAATGAAGTTAATAAGAAATGACAGGATATAAGCATTCCCATCTTTCAGCTACAGAAAGGGATTTACATTTGAATAACTTACATTCAGTGAAACTGTATTTAGACCTGTTTGAAATCATTTAGGCTTAGCTAGCACAATTTAAGTAGAACTTCATTCGGATATTGCAAAATAAAAGCAAAAAAAAAAAATTTGTAAGAAATACTTTGTTTCCCTCCAAAGTCATTTTTATTACTTGAAATAGGAAGAATTTTTTTTTTTAAATCATGCGTCTCCTGTTTGAGTACTTCATAATCATATGAGAATTCAAATGAAGATGCCTCTCAAGCCAAGAATAATTTGAATATTTTCCTATTTTAACAACCTGCACAAACTGTAGATACCGCATGTTAAGACACTATGAAATCAACGGATTCATTTTCCCCTGTATTTTTCCACTGCTCGAGTTATTAAAAACCAGTACTGAAGGAAATACCTGCACAACTATCCCAGTTATGTCCACTCAAACTCCATACTTAATAAAATACTAACTATGGAGACCCTGAAAAAAATAGTTACTATGTCTTTAAATAGGGTCGAGAAATGCCATTTCATACATAGCTGCACTTTCTCGAGTGTGCTTTTGCACAGAAACACACTTCTTGATAGTTAGATTCAAGAGCAAACCCATCACATCGATCCTTCCTTTACATTTAAAATTCTACATATAACTTAATCTTTTTTGCTTTGGTAAAATACAAATAATGGGAAAATCTGGGTAAAGAAAGCACAGTAAATAACATGGGTGTATCATACCTTTTTTTTTTTTTTAAGAAATATGAGCTGAAATGTAAGGCATCCCCAAAGTATTTTTTTGCATATGCAAGGAATGCAGTTCTTTGTAAACAAAAGCTTGAGGAAAAGCAATACTGAAGCCAAAGAATCTTCCCTAGGATCCTTCCGATGATCCCAAACCCAAGAGCAACTCTCCTAGGGCAAGTGTTTTGGAACTAAATCCTGTGAAAAAGAGAATCCAATCCTTTGTCTTCCCATACATTTTTAATCACGTATTAGATTGGCTTGCCTTGAAGATCTCCAAATTAAAAAAAGTGATGTAGAAGTTGATTCTCAAGGGCGCAAGCTCTTCTGAAGTCTATTTTTCCGGTACATCACTTTCTATAGGTTTTGTGGCAGCACTGTTACGGCCTATGGACACTTGCACAGTATTCCCACCAGTAACGTTTCCCAGTGCCTGGGACTGACAGGCAGCCGTGGGTTTAGCCGTAACAAGTGTTTTAGAAGAATTAGAGCGATGTCTGCGATGATCTGAATCCTCACCTGTGGCAGCAACTGCTCTCTTTCTGCCAGATTCTTCACTAATGGGAGGCTGAAAGTAAACATTGGCAACCTGTTAAACGTTCTTCTGTAAGGCCAGGTATTTGCATTTTCATATACTTAAAGGATCAGACAAGACAGAGCGTTCCATAATTAGGCCCTTAGTTAGGCCTAGTAATCTTAAGTTATTCACAACTCCCTGATGATATTCCAAAGCTTTCCGGGCCGTGTAGCTAGAAATACAAGCTCATGACGTACTCGGGACTTTAAACACTCTTACAGCATTATGTAATCGTCGCTGCCCAAATGTTTGCCACAGCTCCTAGAGAACAGAGGATTATAGAGGATGACGGTAACGTAGTGCACCGTAACCCAGTTATGAAGAGCACGGCAGCACTATCCTCTGGAATCACACAGTTAAAGAATTCAGCATTCTTCCAGGAAGGCTACATTGCTTTGGCACACGAAGTGTCAGCAAGGACAATGCCTGTCACGGTTCATTAAGAAATGCCCACTGGACATTAATTCCTTTGCCAAATTCTTCAACGGCATAGGAGTCATCAGTCTTACCAGATGACAAATAAGCTATTTTTTTGCTATTTATTTCATTACACAACAAAAACGGATCGACGCTTTTCACATTTTAGCCCCCACACCTCAGCACCCTACTTCGGCTCAAAAAAGAATGTCTAGAATAAAAACGCATTTTTCATTTGCATTTAATTTTTGTTTAATAATGCTTCTTCTAGTCATTGACAGGATTTGTAAAGCTGCCTTTTTGGGAAACAAAGTACTGTCCTCAGTTTACTTTGCAATAAAAATATCTGAACACCAAATGTTTATTTAAAATAGGTATTGAAACTCACATCCACTCTGAAGTCCTCCAGTCTCTTAAATTTACTAAGGTATTCTTGCAGTTTGGGGTCAATGGCTGGAGTCTTGTGCTGAGAGTATTTTAGGTAAGCCCAAAATTTTTCCAGTCCGTACAGCTGACCTAATAGTGGAAAAAGATAATTTTACCAATTCACAAAGGTCAGATTTAATTAAAAGCTTAATTATTCACTGGTAACGATACCTTTAAGAGAACTGTAAGATAAAAGGAACATGAACAAAAGCTGCTCTTGGGTTAGTTAAGAAGTCAGTGCCAAGGAACTGGGATTATCTCCCAACTAAGGTTACCCCCCTGTGAGCAGTGACTGGCCTATAATAATTACCAGCTTCATAGTCTCTCTTTGTTTCTTCTTGGAAATCCTTGAATATTTCTTGTCTGAATTTCTTTTCTAGGCCGTAGCTGTAAAATCTAAACAAGCATTCCAATCCATACCTGTAACAGAACAAAGAGGTACGAAAATCTTAAACATTCGCTCCTCATTCCTCACAAGGATGCAAGTTTTCACTCCCTCCTTGCATTTCAGTAAATGCCAGAGTCTCATTTTACTCTTCTCATAAAAACCACTTCCTTTTCGGCATCAATTTTAATTGACCTGTTGTTCCGAAACCTCTTCCCAAATAATTAAAACTGACTTAGGAAATCAGGTTTATCCCATGGTTTCAACTTGTATGCATGTATAGTGTCTGTAGTTCACAAAAATGGAGACTAGCGCTTTCACGTTTTCAGTATGTTTCTATGAACAGTTTCAACATAAAACCAACCATGGTGTGTCGGACCAAAAGTCAGCCTAACCCACCGTCAGCACAAAACCCGATGTGTAGGGCAGGACTCGCTGGTCTTTCAGCTCCCGCACAACCCAGTGCCAGGTTTTACTGGCTCAGTGTTTAGTTAACACTCTGGCTTTGGCTGCCACGCTGTCACCAGAGTTGCCTTGGGCCTCTAGATAGCTGGGACCTCCTTCTGCCCCACATTCATCTGCTGCCACCTTAGTCCCCTTAAGAGCCTTCTGAAGTTTCCCCTGGTAAATGTATCCTTGGATCATCACAGAGCATGAAGTAAGCTCCAAGCGGGGAGACAAGGTATTATTAAAGCCACCTTTGCACCCCAGGGACTATCACTCTGCAGTCTCAGACAACGTATCCAAACTTCAGGATTTCCATAGCCAATACGTCCTCACTTGGCATTCAAAATGTGGGGCTATCTTGCCTCTTTGGCCAAGAGAAATAGAGGTGGGGGAACTGGGTGAAAGCAAATATCATCAAAGAGCTAAAGGGGCAGCAGCACTTTCCGCTTTTTGGAAGGCATGAAGCAGTTTGAACAAGTTGACCAAGGTTAAGAATGTCACCTATGGAAGGAAGAATCTTGTGAGTGTTAGTAAGTACAGGGCTGACTTATCACGGTCAACAAGTTGCAGTCGGTCCTGAATTCTACAGAATCCTGTAAGTCAGGAAATGCTGCACGTTTAGCTATTTATCTGCAAAGCACACATGCATACAAACAGTTTTTTAGTATTAAAATAGCAGGCTGTGTAAGTTATTTTAAAGATTTACAAAAAGTCAAAGCCAATACTAAAAACGTTCACCTCAGGAAACGTCAGTGTCATTAAAACGAATGGTAAGACCTCAACAGTTTTTAACTTCCAAGAAAAAGCAAATACCTGTAGTGTTCTTCTGCATCATCTAGAGCAAGCTGCTTGAATTCTTCATACATTTTCTTGTTAAAGTGATCTCTCAGAAAAAAGGACCAGAAACGAAAAAGTGTGTTCATTTCTTGGGACTGGCCAATTCCCAACCGTTTCCTCTCTGGAAGAAAAAAAAAGAAAGGGGGGAAAAGAAAAAAAAAAAGATGTTTTTAGTTTTTCAGCAGAATATTTTTTGAAGTGCTTCTCCATTAGTAATATGCACTCCCACATCTTCCAGTAACTTAAGTTTAAATTTGAGGGTAAGTTTTTTTGTCAGGGAATGTAAAGTTAAATGGCAAGCAGAATTCATAAAATAGAAAGATCAAATAAATTTTGCTTTCTTTTCCCAATGTGGAGACAACTGGTTTCAGATGACATCCGGTAACTTCCACCTAAAATTTCAGGAAGCACATTTAGCAGCTTACCCATTAGACACCTTCGACGATATTTGTGGTAAACCTGTTGAGTGAAGCCATTTTCCTTTAACAGTTCATGAGAAGGATGCTGAAATTTTGGAAGAGAATTTGGGGTACACCCATAATTTCCTGCTAGTGGAGCTCCTTCTGAAGGCGAAGCATTGGAACTACTGAAGAAAAGAAACACACAAACATATTTCTGTCCTATAGATAGTGCTTTTCTACAGAATCAGTTTTCAACCATCCCGATCTACGCAAGAGCTGTAAGAATAGTAGTCACCTGATGACCGCTACAATGCATGCCTGGGGTGCCAGTCATCTGTATTCGGGCACACCTCAAGAATTTGTCAAAATTATGTCAAAATTAACTAATTATGTCAAAAAACAGGCAGTTTTGGATGACAATAATTAAGCATTACTGTAATGCTCAATTTTAAATGACCACTTAAAGGCAAAACCACTGAAGTGAACATCAGTACTTCCAAGTAATACTACTGCTGCTATGTACGGATCAAGAAATAACGTTGTGAACGTAGTCAGTCTAGCTAGCTTACTTCCGCATAGCCTTCTATTTTATGTTTTTGTCTTTCTTGATCACTCTTTTCTTGCTTCCACTGTATTTATAAATAGTCTCTTATCACAGCCTATTTCTCTGTTAGCAGTGAGACCTAATGACACAGCAAACAAGTTTTCTACAACACAAAATAGAATTTACCTTAGAGAGGCAGTTCTTGGCCTGTGGTCTCTGGAATCCATCACCCAACCAACATGGCATTCTAAGGGAGGATTTGTACTGTGTCGGGTTTTTCTTTTTCTTGGAGTCTGAGAAAGTAAATGAAGTAGTTATTTCCCTAATTTGATTTCACTCATCCTCTCCCTCTTAGAATATACAATTTTTAGAACTTTGTTTTATCTAATACATAATAAAGTCACAACGCTCCAGTTTCATAACCTAAAGATTAGTCTTATGTAACGAATTAGAAATCTTTAAACATTACACTTCTTCAGTAAGGACTTTTAAGAAATGTTACAGAGAAAACTCGGAAACCATTTTGTAGAAATAAAAAAGAATGAATACAGTAAATATTTTTAAGATAAACAAAACCCAAGTTTTTCATTTTTTGCCTTTTCATTCTTGTTAAATTGTGTGCACAGACATGAGTTTTATAGGCTTTTTCTGGTTTAAAAAAAAATTCCATCTTCCTACTTACCTTTACGTCAGTGGATCGTGCTTCTTTAACGACAGGGTAGAATCTGGGTGTTTTGTTGGGATCCTGTAGCCTTGGGGTGCGAGGTGTTTGCGGGGTGAAGCCAGGACGAACACAGGGGGAATCTGGAACTGCTGTTGGCAGTGATCGAGCTATTGCTGCTGTTGGAGGTACTTCACTACTTAACAAATTACAAGTTAGCTCTTCTGCTAAGTCTGTAGGCAGGAAGGAGAAAACACTCGTTTTCAAAAGAAACTTAGGATTTCAAAGCCTAAGCTCCCCTAGAATCCAGTATCTTAAAGGCCTGTTTCATTTCAAGTGAACTACATCATCCCCAAAGGATAATCAAATTAACAAAAGCACTTGGCAGAGGAGCAGTACAAAGTGCTCAAAACGATGAAATAATGTTTCAAGCATATCTTTGCTAGAAAATTTAAACCCACTTCTTTTTTACCTGCTTGTTCTTGCGTATCTATGCTAGCAGAGTAATGGAAAATAAACACTGGTGAAAGTGTAACCACATTCTCACTTTTTGGTGAGGTGGTTTTCTTCAACTACTTCAAAGATGCTTTTAGCATGTATCCGGTAAATGTTACTATTACTACTATATCACATATACCTCGAAAGATAAGATTTGGATGTTGTGACTTCTCAGGAAGGTTATGACAAAAGTAGAAAATTCTCCTAATCTCACTTCATTCTATCCCCATTTCCCATAAAAATACTGATTTCTACGAAGTGTTTCACAACATCAGTAGCTATTACTTTACACATTGTAAATGCCAAGTTACACAAAAAGCACCTGAGGTTGGTATATGGTGACAATGAAATAGAACACTGCCTTGTTGGTGCTCATATCTGCTGACTGAACCAAAGTTAAAATATTACACAGGCAGAAAGAGTTAACACTCCTACAAAATTGTTCTTTATTACAGAGATTCTAAAGCCAAATACGCATTACTTACCTTTCTGTAACCCTGGAGGTCCTGAAGGAACTTCTTGGGTTGGATCAGCAATTGGTTCTGGTGCAAGATTATCAAATTCTTCCTTACTAATGAGATTTAGCTTCTTAAAGTTCTCTATCTCTTGCTGAATTAGAGAAAGCAAATTGTAAACGCAAAGCACAATAATGGCTATCATCCTGAGAAACAGGTGAATATCATAAAAGAGAAAATAAGCAAGCCAGAATTGACACACAACTACGCATACACAGCCAGTACAGATTTCTTTTAAGGAAGATGGAAGGAATCTCCAGCAGACATTGCAAAAAAGTTGCAGTGAACACTGTACATCATCTAATACAGCTCACGCTGCACTAGCTAGAAGAAACTGTTATGCCAACAAATGGGAGAATGGAGGCAGGTAAGGTCATCTGTATGTGAATTTTCACAGACAAACAAGGAATAGAAATAACTGAGATCCTGCCCTTTGCCAAGCCCCAAACCATCCTTCTTCTGCAATAATTGCGCCAAGAAAGGTCCTAGCAATTTAGAGGAGTGGAAAAGGCTGCTACATTCCTCAGTCCATCTAAAGAAAAGCCAGTATTTGTAAAGGAATTGTTCAGATTTTTTTTTTTTTGGACTGGTAGCTTAAACTGCAAAAGGACAGGATTTTGCAAGGCAGCATCTCAAATCACTCATGCCCCTACTCAGCTGAAGGTGAGGTGGGATGTGTCTGTGTGCATGCTGCGTGTGAAAAATCTTGTTTGAATCATTGTCAGGAAGGTAACAACAAGATAAAAGAAAATATTTTCTCTTGCTATGTGCTATTTCTCACTGTTCTCTTCCAGTTTGCTCATTTTCTTGGTCCATTTCCTTTGTAATAAAATTTCCATATTCCAAATTTTACCTTTAATTCTTGCTCTTATTCTCAATATTCATTTCTCTTTGTCAGCTCATTTTTGTACCCACATGCTCCATTTGTCCTTTCCGCTAATTTTCCCCTTCTCCCCCATTGCCCAACACACCTTTGCCCTTGTGCACAGAAAAAAAAAAAGCTCCTTCCCCTCACCACTTAAGCGTTTAGGGAACTTGGTGTTTCTGTACACAAAATACCTGCTAGTGATACAGTGGGACTGTCTACAGATGTGCCACTCGCTGGGCTCGCTCACAACAACAAAGGGGTTTCTTAATAAACCAAGAGCAGTAAAGCGAGAGGACTGCAGCGTGCTGAGCTGTCCTCTGCCTATGAAGTGCTGGTGTTCAACTGATCTGTAATTTTACAGCTGCTTAGTGTATTCTTAAAAAAATAATTTAAAAATGAATAAAATAAATCACACAGCTGACAATCTCCTTCTGAAGTTTTAAAATCCCCAAAGACAGGGGCCCATGCACAGGCTAGGAAACAGAAGGGTTTCTATAGTAAAATAAGGTGTGCAATCCAACGTTTTATTTGCTCACAGAGCTATCATTTTAACAAGCTACAAGGTAAACAGAACCTTAATATAAAACTACCTCAAAATGACTGTATTACCTTTCTCCCTCAGAAATGTGCCCCCCCTTCCCCTGTGGCAGGGGTTTGCAAGTGTTATGAAACAAGTTATTCATAGAATGGCTTGAATATATTCACATATGTTGAATATATTTATACTCAACAAGAAAACACTGGAAAAGTTGAACCATCTCCAAAATGTTAAAAATCATTCTAAAAAATATTCATTCAATGGTTTTGGTCAAATCTGTGACACAACAAAAAAAATCATTGGTTTTGCTTTCAACCGTTCACATTAACATCAAAATAAAGAGAATTTAATAAACCTATAAATTCAACTACTGTCACTTTTCTTTCAAGGAAGCGTAGCATTTTACAATTACATAGCAGATGGCTGAAGTTCATTTTGGAACTGTTTGAAAAGGCATGGTTTTCAGGTCAGAAAATGAAGATTTACCTTCATCATAGTGTCATTTTCACTCTGCTCCATCCACAAATCCTGTTCATAGTAGTATAAGCCATCATTAATAACCTTAGCAAGTTCTGATGTCTCATATATGGTGGTGTCTGTGTTACAATCAAAATCTTGTTTATGTCCTGATCATCAATTTCATAATCTGAATCGCTGTCTGACCAATCAGTAAATTTATTCTTCCGACCCTGAATTTGTTCCATCTCTTCATCGAACAAAAAATCAAGTTCTTCTTGTTCTTGTTCCTCTGGAGGTGGGGGTGGCTGCTGTTGATCTGATGTTTGATCAGCTATAGGAACACTTTCCTAAGTTGGAAAAGGTGATGCATTTTATATTTGGACAGTGATTATCCAAATGGGAGACAAATAGAACATGACAGAACATTTTCAGTGAATAAATGTATGGGAATTAGAAAAAATACAGCCGCTTTCAGATGTTTATTGAGTAAATTACTGCTCTAAATAATTCTGCCATAAGCTTTTAGAACAATTCTCAATGCACATTACAATACATTTTTCAATAATCATCAGGTACAACTGTCCCCCAACTGAAAAAAAACCAACCAAACAAAACCAAACCAGTATTTCCTTTTCATTTTAGTGAGCTTTGGAGCAGGATTCTAAATGGACTTAGTTATCCTAGGTCTGGTTAGAGTGAAAAGTACGCACATTAACTGTATTGCATTATCAAGCATCATATACGTTGTGAAACATCTTGTTTTACGGTATAACCTGAAAGTTGGCAGGTTTTGCATTTGTTTATTCAAACACAACTTAAAGGTTTTTGATTTTACCTTTAGTTTGACCGTGGATGCGTGATGCCTCTTCTTCACTTCTATCCAAGGTTCAGAGTCCAAATCAGGTAAACTTGTGGACAATCCTTTAGACATTGTCTGAAAATTACTCGTTTCAGTGTTTTCCTTTGGACTCAGCGGGCTCCCCATTCTTGGAGAACTTGGTGCAGACTCTAGTAGCAGAAAACAGTAGTTCAGTTCCTGCTGCGTGCTGTCTTGGTTTTATTTTTTGTTCTGTTCAGTTTTTAATTGTTTCACTAGTCTTTTAACTGCACCTACCATTTTCCAACCTCTCTGGTTAAATATAACACTGATTAGCAGAATTTCTTTTCATTTTTGGGAGACAGCTTTCCACAGTTCACTCAACATTTTAGGAAAACGATCAATTCTAGCAACTTATTTACAAGGAAAGTTCCTAACAGTCTGAGAGAAATGATGTGTTATTCAAAAAACAAGAGCAGCATCATTAGGAACATGTTTTCTCCACACCATCCTCTAGCTCTATGGATGGGTGCCTAAACTCAGTCTTCATTCTTCTCATTTAATTCCAGCCAATGTTTGAGTAAAAGGACTTCCTTGCCAAGGGTTGTCAGCGAACAAAGCCATCTCCCTATTAATAATGTGAATGAGATCCCCAGCCAAAACCAGGATGCACCAAATAAGGAGTTGACTTTCATCTGCTACCGAAATGAAGCAGATTTCATGACTAACTTAAGATTACTATTGCTGCTAAAGGACTGTAGTCCACCATGCTATATTCTGGAGAATGGTCACAGCCGTAACACACAAGACATTTTTATCACCACATCAGCCGTGCCAGCCATGTGACTTGGCAACTGCAAGGCTGACAGGCGTATCAGCGGAATAAACCATTACAAAATGTACAGCTTCTATTATGAAATCAGTATCAAGAGGCAAACTTCCTAAGCTAGACAGACAAGTCCTAAACTTATGTTTCTGTAAAATAAATCCTTTACCAGTATGTGAGCCAAAAATTTGGCCTGGTATGAATTCTGGACAATTGATGAGCTGAGAAAAATCAGTTGGTGGCAGACTGCATGGAGGAGGACCTGGAATTGGCCACTTTTCTGGATCAACCCTTTTTCTTATCCTCTGATCCACAGTTTCAACTTCTGTACTGTCCTTTAGGGCCTGCGTGACAAGCGTATTATAATTTTAAAAACCTTACATATCCAGCACCACCCAAAAAAGAAAAAACCCACATACTTTGCCATTTATAGCCTCTTTATAAAAACCTTGTCATTGCAAACAGGAATCTTTCTTAACTTCACAGCACTGAGTTTAAATGGCAGTACAAAATTCACCAAGCAACTTTCTGCTGAATTATTTTACCTCCAAAATGAGTGCAGCATTTGTAGTCAGAGCTTGCATGCGACGGAAGCTAGCAATCAATGAAACAGGCAGAAATCCTTGTTGGTCCATCTTTCTCCTCAGAAAGAAGTCTCTTTCCAAATTTTCTGTGCTGAAATAATACTCACTGCAGAAAGAAACATACAAATGTGAGCCTACTGTAGGTTAAAGAAAATCCTAAGATAGCAACTTTGATATTCCTCGTTAAAGTCTTCCATTAAAAACAGACCGTGCTTTGTCAGCAAAAAAATCGTTCTTTCAACAGGTGTATCATTATAAGCAAGACTTACAGAACAGCATGCACGCTCAACACGTTAAGACAGACTTATGATCCAGGACACAGGGGCAGAAATGAAAGCCGTGTTACATTTGCATACATGAACTGCACATGGAAAAACTATGCTCCATTTTTCTTTCACCCATCCCCTCCCTTATTACTTACATGAACAGAAGGAAACAACATTCTCTTAGCCTCCATCTAGATGAAGGACAACTACTGCTTACAGTCAGGGCATAAGTTATTTCCCACACAGCAGTATCAGTGCACCTTCATCCTGAACTGTATCTTTTCTTTTCCCAGTTTCCAGTACATTAGAAGGTTTAAGTATCCTATCTGAGTGTTGAGGCACATATACGTACTCTGAATCATTACTTCAAGCATGCTTGTGGGAAGATGAGAAAACAAAAACAGTAATGTTGTATTTGTCATGAAACTGTACCAAAAGGCACAACAGTTCATGGAGAAAGGTAAAGTCTAAAAGAAGAGATGATGTTTAGTGGATAAAGAGGGACAAGGACCATTTCAGGAATCTGACAATACCACAGAACAAGAGAGACAAGGGACACAAAAATAGGAGAAAGACAAATCTTCTTAAACAGTGAAGCTGCTCTATGAAGTAATCAGGGTGTCAAGGTGTTTTATAATTAGTGAAAAGTAAGGAATTCAAATCATGATCTGTCAGACAAAGCAAGGGAACAAGAAAACATCCTACAAAAAAGAACAGGGGAAAAAACCCCAATGTCATGATGACTAAAATCTAGGCCTTTCACAGAGTTTACACAGCATACCATGATTCTGCATATTACATCCAAGAAATACTACTCCTCATCAGGTCCAGGAAAATATAGGTAGTGAAATATTTAGTGGAGAGCAATTAAAATTCTAGTAGAGAGCAATTAAAATTCTATGACACAAAAATAGAGGTAGTGCAAAAATAGAACAAGAGACCATTAAAATGCTGAGAGAAAAAAAACCCACATGCAAATGTAAATAAAGTTAATTCTAATTTCAACAAAGTATAAAATGCTAAGTATCTCCACTGAAGTTGGGAACATGGGGAAATTACCAAGAGGAGAGGACACTGATGCCATCAATGACCCAAGCAGAAGCTTGATACCATTTCTTTCTCTAATTTTGGTAGCTAGAGAAATTCAAAGCAAAAGCTTTCTATATGAAACACTCAGCTCCAAGACAGAACGAATACAAAATCTCAAAGTTGGACAATAAAACATACGACAAATGAAAACATTGCCATTACATCAGAGCAAACAGAGAAGAGAATAAGGCTTTCGGAGAATCAAGCTCTTCAGAGCCAAGTAATTTGATCGGCGAAGCCACTGTGCACAAAGAGAAGGTTTCTTTCAAGAATATCCCCATTTACTGTTCTGAACTGCTACATTTCTTTTCCCCTCCCAATCTAGAAGATAAGCAAGCACAAAAGCCATATATCAACATTTTACTAATGTTACCTTTACAGTCATACAGTAAAGGTAAAATCTTGTAACGATTCGCCTAGTTAAAAATTCCACAAGCAGAAATGGACAATGACTGAACTTGTCTCAAACTGCCTCACTTGATGTCCATCACTCTAGAAAAAGGAATGTGAAAGACCATTAATGATAAATGAAGACAACGCACAAGTTTGCTCCAAGCAGAGGGACAAACCTAAACACACACACCCCCCTCCAGCTTTTATTTTCTTTTTCATTTTCCTCATAGTCCTTTTTCTTAATTCTTGAATTGGTGCAGACTTGGATGCATGTCTGAACTTTTACTTATTTGTTTTTTTTGAAGAAAGAGGACTTTAAGCAGACTTCTACTGCATGTTTCAGACTGAGGAGCTGCTAAGCACTGAAACTGACAGGCTGTAACTGACAACTTCAGCCTGTAATTAAAAATGTTAAAGATATTTCTGTATGTAATACAAATATTACTCTCATACATCAAGCTGGTTCTTGGGACAAGCATAAACCGCTTGATAGCAGTGTATTTCTTACTGTAATTACACATCAGTTGGACACAGTCTCTGAGATTTTTTCCCTATTAAGCAGGTAAACTGTTTTAAAATTCATCCATTCCTTAGGATTCAAACCAATCTCACTTCTCTAATATATCCTGATTTATCTTGAACTCCGTGAGGAACTCTGAAACCTAACAGTTCTGCGTAGCTTTTTTCTGTATATACTTCCTCCTTTGGCACAAGATACTTCAGTATTTTATAACTAAATTATGAAAGGCAGACAAAACCATCCCCATTTAGAAGATAATAATAGGTAATTGACGAATAAAGTCTCTTTTCCATCATTTTTCATGTGATAAAGGAAGTGAATAGATAAAAACCCACTTTTTTTTTTTTAAGGAGCATAAAAATAGTGAAGTTACATTCTAACCCTGCTCAAGAATCTCCCTCTCTCTCATGGAAAGCAAACTCCATAATCAAACTGCCTTAGGAGTTCATATCAGACAAGCAACCAATGGCTCTCGTTAGCCAGCCATGCCAAGTCTTCTATTGACACCTGCCAACCTCTCGTCGCTAAAATAAAATACAAATATAACCAGAAGTCAGATGTGACCAATGCTGTAACTGACATTTTTCTCAGCAGAGGGGGACATCATCATGTCCTACCTTAGAAGGTCTGGATTCTACACTGCATGCCCAGAAATCTGGCCAACAGTGGAGTGGCTGTGCTCCTCCCTCACTTGTCTGAGGACAGTGCAGGCCGATTATCCTGACATGGGGGTACATGTCCACTGTCAGGTCTCATAGGGGCCTGGCAGCAAGAGTAACAAAAAAGACTGCAATAGAAGTTTTGAAGTTGATAGCCACATGCCAGATACTTTCTGCCCTTAAAGAGGCTTTTTTCTTCCTTTTGCGTCAACTGTAACAAAAGAAGCAAGAATAAAATAAGCAAGTTGCTTTATGGAATACAAGGGCAATCAAAAACCACCACAAAGGCATCGCAGAGAAATGCCGTTGCAAGTACAGAAGATGAAATATCTGCCAGTGGTGGAAACTGTCTCTTTAAAATGAACTAGTGGTTTCCAGGCCCTTTTTGACTTGTCTCCTGGTGATAATCAGTCTTCCAGATGGTTTCTCATTGCCTAATGGTGTACACGAGAAAGTAAACATTTCAGATTATTGAAAAATCAAGTATCATTGCAAAACTACTCTCTTTCAGTTAAATGTTTCAGATGAAACACTCTGAAAACAAAACTAACAAGACTTCTCAAAGTGAAATTGAGAGCAAATAAGGGAAATGTCTAGCTGCATCACCCAAGAAGAGCTTTATAGGCAAACAGACCAACAGTACTCAAAAGCACAAGCTCAGAGACATCCATATCTCAATTACATGACAACATAAAAAGAGGACTATGTACCATAAATAAAGCAGGTATACGAGTTAGAGCCAGACTACAGCACAAGATGCAGAACAGCTTCCTTAAAATCCACCCCCATCACTCAAGTTTTTCCACACCGCTAGTGAATAAATTCAGACTGACACTGGTAATGGTCAAATCGAAACGTTGAATCGAAATGCCTTAGTCTCCATCTTTATATGGATACTAAGGATTAAACACGGTTTGAAATTAATTATTTTATCTTAACTAGATCTCTAAAAATATTTGTACATTAAACAATCTACTTACATTTGATGTTTTATATATTCTTTGAGAAGTGCTTCATCCACTGAATACACCTGCACTCCTGTTCCATCACCATAGTAATACATCACGCTAGCATTAAGCTCAGGTTGAAATACTTGGTCAGTTCCTTCACCATACAGTTCTTGGTAACCAACTGAATAGTCAAAGTTCACTTGAAAATAAAGGAGAACATAATATTTTTCATCATCTTTCTCTTAAGTCCAGCATACAAATATTTTAAGGCATGGTACACACTGCTATTTTACTGTTGGTTTTCAGCACCTGATTTTAAAAAGACTTAATATAAGTTACAGGATACGTTTTTCGAGACAACTCTTACTTCACATGCAAACAGTAACATTATAAACATAGTTTTAATATTTTTGCTAAGCATCTACTTCTTTGCATACTTCTAGGGTTTCCTCTGCCTCGTCCTCTTCCTCTGCCCCGTCCTCTTCCTCTGCCTCTGGAAAACCCTCGAACACTGCTACCCTCACTTCTCACGCTGCACACTTCATCATGATCATCTCTCTTCTCTCTGTCACGACGCCAATCTTTAAGAGAAAAAAAGCATAATACATGCAATCATAGTTAAATATCACAGTGCCAACAAATCCCTTGTAACACAGAGTTCTCGGCTTGCACCCAGGGAATCCACAGACTCGGTCATGCTGGCTGCAGCAGGTGATGAGACCTGAAGCTGCCAGGGTCAAACAGCAAGGTTTGCCCAGCCACGCCTGTGGGCAAACTGGGCAGAAGCTGTTAGCAATGAAGAAGAGTAAATGGGCTTGACTGGCAGTCAATCTCAAATGCTTCTGAAGCAACTGGACACCCTGGTGCCAGCTCAGGGATCACAATACCTATGATCTGCTTGGGATGGGAAGGAACGGTCACGCAATTCTCCTTCCAAGCATGATAATACAGTCACCTCCTGTAGACAACTCCCAGTATCTAGAAAGAGCTACGACGAAGAGTTGCTAGCTCTTGAAGATCCTGCTTGGGGTGGGATTTCCACAGCAACAGCTCTCTGGAGCCTCCCTTTTGTTCCCAGAAGCAGCAGCCTACTGCTCCCCTGACTCTGCCCATTTAACAGCAATCGTTTTATTCTCTGCTGGTTGTGCCCCAAACTGAGCTTTGAAGTTAAGGACCCCTTTTTGAGAACATATGCAAATCTAACACAACTCTATAAGAATCTATGTAACATTTTCGTATCAATACGTGGCCTGCACATAGCAAAAGAGAACAAGAGAGAAGCAGATGAAGAAAGGAAAGCAAGCAGGTCCAAACCAGACCCCAGGGACTGTGTCTCCACTCACCACAGAACTTTACTCATGACAGAAAACAAAGCCCTCTCTCACATCATTTTGTTCTCTTTTCCTAACACCCTGACAGACTTCCATCTTCAGTCAGTCACCCTTGCTTAAAGTTTACGTTGTAATTGGATAGTCTTCCAGATGCTGGGGGGACCTCTTTGTCAGGGGAATGCCTGAGGATACAGCCCCTACTTGATCAAACTGAGACTTGCTAAATTTAACAAAGACTGAATAAAGGTACAGTTCGTTGTTTGTATTAGAAATCTTGCTTTACAAGCAACTATTTTTAATGAACTCTACAACAAAATATGCGTGCTCATACATTCAAGTTCCTGTACTTTATTTTCTGTCAAGTAAGACTCTGAATATTGTAATATGTATGTCTGTCTCTCACTGGGAATTTGGACCTTAGAGTTCACACTTGCTACCCTCAACCTTAGAGGTCCCAAATGCATAGGCATTATTTGAACTATTTCCCCAAATCAGTTTCATTTTTGCACTCAGAGTGGCAAAAATCCTACGTGTAAAACCTTCATGAGCTAGCATTGTATTTAAACCTGAAACAAGTTTTTTATTTGAACAGCCAATGTTCCTGAAGAGCAAGCGATGTTTTATGTTCTCTCACACTGAAAGTGGTCTTGAATACTAGAGACTTTAGGTAGACTTCATGGTACAAGTTTCCTGTCCTTTGACCATCCTGAGGAATAATTGCTGAAGAAGGTGATACACTAGCAAAAATCCTCCCCCTGCCCATCCCTCAGACATCCAGATCAAACCTGTGAATCCATGTTCCTAAAATGACTTCATAAAAAAAATACCATCTCAGCAGCATCCAACACCTATTATAGTCATAGAATCACAGAATCATTTAAGTTGGAAAAGACCTTTAAGATCGAGTCCAACCGTATGAGCAAACATTTAAATTTCTAATGTATATTATGATTTTCAAACTTAAAACGCAAATACATAAACTAACATTACACTCATCCTAAGATTTCTGCCATCTAACAAGCTGTATTCAGAACACCTGAGAACCAGAAGCAGTACCGGCTGTACTGCATTTCTCCCTCTGTTGCACTAGTACAACTTTTTGCAGGGCCACGCTGAGAAATAGGTCAGGGGACTGAGGGAACTTAAAGAACTTAAAGAAATGCACAGCATCAGTAGAATTGCCAAAGCAGAGTTCAAAGGGTAGGTCCACAAGCAATTGCTCTGGTAGCAACAAGCTGCAGGAATAGCAGTAGAGCAGGACAGAGCAGCCACCTTATGAGACTATTTCCAAACTTTCTGCATCATAAAGCTGTGGCCCAAGACCTTATAGAGAGCCATGAGGAGAAAAATACACGCCGCTGTGATTCAGAGCACCATCACATGCTGTAAAGACAGACTGTTTCCAAACTCAGTTACTCAGCATAGTCAGTGACTGAGACGTCACAACTGTGATCGATTTGTGAAGAGGTTCAAAAAAATCCAACAGTAAGTTTTTAAACAAAACTTTACTATTTAGTTTTTGCTGGTTATTGGCAAATATTAACATCAGATTTTACTTAGTATAGGGAAAGTCAAGTTTCAACATAAACTGCCAATCTAACGCCTGCTTGCGTAGTATTATACTTTATTTGCCGCAAATGGAAAGACTCAGAGATTGAAAACTACTTACTTCTTGTCTCATTCCGTCTGTTGTTATGAGGTATTAACTTGTTTGTTTCCAGCGGAAATCTTGAGCTAGTTCGAGAGCCTGGTCTTTCTTGACTGTCTGACCTTACATCATCCAAGTGAAGTGGCACCCATTTCTGCCTGTTACCTTGAAAAGTTTATATATTACTCTTAATTATGGTACTACTTGAGGTTTCAGCTCCTGAAAAGATTCTATAAAATTCCTCTTGTAGAACTAGTAACAGTTAATTTCAAAGTTTAAAAACTGGGAGAAGCTTAACATTGAAATTTTAAGATATGATTAATGACTAAACAAAAATAAATGCGGTAAATAGGAATTTCGCAAACTGAAAGGTAACCTTACCTAAGCTTTAAATATATGAAATGAAGGTGAGCTTTTTTTATTTAATAAATTTTTAGATGTAAGCTCCATTACCAAGAATTTATAGTTAGATAAGTGTTAAATATAGACGGTAAATTCCTTACTATATAACTTCACAACTTGTATATGAAACATAAAGGTAGAAAGTACCATAGCAACTTAACCGCCAAAATAAAGATTTCGATCACAAGCCATGGAAGTTTTCCTGAGAATTTAGCAGCAGTACCGTATTTTTACCTTGAGATATTCAGATTAATTTGTTCATGTGCATCGAAAATTATTAGCAAAGATGTATTTTGTTGTAGGCTGGCCTAAAATATCCACTCATTTATTTAATGATAATGTTTGCTGTTCTATACTTGACTGGTATTGTGGGATTCATACCTTTGTAGCTACGAAATATAAGCAAATACATAAAAGGTGTTACCCACGCTGGGGGTGTGGGGAGTGTGAAGGGGTGGAATAAGTTGTACCTGTGGAATGCTTTGTTTTAGATTTTCACTTAGACTGAAAAAATTAAAAGCAATAAAGGATTTGTTTTTAAATATATACACTGGAAGATGAACAAATCTAAACAACAAAGGTCTTTAGGATTTAAGAAATACCAGCAGGGAAGCAAGAAACAAAAGCAACAATATGGCTGGCAGCAATGTCTTAAAACACTTTCAGCTGTTTCTCCAGCCTATCGACCAAATGAGATACAGCTTTGCTTCCTATTTCTACTGTAACAAGTTGGATCAAAAGGAAATAAATAACCTGGTTTAGCTTTCAGGTGATTACTTCAAGGTATAAGAGAATAGTAAAACATGGAAATTAAAGTGTTCGTGTATACAGTAACACACACACACATGCAGTTAAATTAACATAGTACTATCTGTTTAGGGAAATAAAGATAGGAAAGTCAGTGACGGTTTGTAGAGCCATGTCAAAATCTTCCAGAAATTGTCAGAGCTCCGTGGACCATCAATAGGACGTGAGCTGCTTTTTCCCCAGAATTCTTATTTGCCTCAACAGAACACTCCAAAACCTAAGAAAGGAAGCCTGTTTTAAGCTTCCTAGCAGAAAGCAATATATCCTGCTATCACCTAGAAAATGCAAAACATAACAAGTTTCATCAAGTCATCCAACTGGAATTAACAACAATGTATCAATAGTGACTTACTGCATTATTCATAGTGCCCAGACTGACCTTTTTTCCTTTGGTTATTAGTCTGAGCTTCATCTTCACTAATATTATCTCCTGGACCATCTGGCTTTGCCTCTGGGTTGTCCTTGATTCCATTATTGCTTTTTTGATCAGATTTCTCCTCCTTTTCTCTTCTATTTGTTGGCTTCTTACTGTGACTTACACTCTTACACTGCAAGAGATATTGGTAATTATTTCTGACAGTACAGCTGCTGATAGCAAAAGGTATAGATTTCCTTTACCTATTAAAATTTCTTCAGTAGAGTTTTAAGAACTGTGTTGTTTTGTGAAGTCTCATTTTAAATAGTTCTACTCTCTGCTAACTTGGAAAGACTATAAAAGGAATTTTTAGACAAAGTTTTTCATTGTTTTCTAACTGAAGATGTAGAATTGCAGAGCGCATGACAATCATGTTTCAACACCTCAGAATTTAAATTTATTTTATACGGAAAAAAGAAGAACTGCTCACCAGTACCTCCTGTTCAGACTGATTATCTTTAAAAAGCTATGCTTGCAGAATACTGAATGGTAAATCAGAAATTCCCATGATGCTGTACAATCTCAACAGCATGCCAAATGTTCATGTAAACTATAAGGAGCCATAGGTCTTAACTCTGACAATTCTGTTCCACTAAATCAGAACATGAACCAAAGATCTGAGGATGTGGAGGTGTACGATTACAGATTTTTTTTTTCCCCACATTAGAATACGGCATTTACTGGGAACTGTGTGCCTTTGAGTAGCGTCAGCATCCTGCAGATCATCACTTCTTGGAAATCCCACAGAATAACAGGTTTCAAAGAAGGCAAAATGAACAGCATTTTAGCAAATATTGGGAAGTTTCTTTTTTTCCAATCAGTATCGATATTTTCCAATCAGTATCAATACAGGCTGGGGGATGAAGGGATTGAGAGCAGCCCTGTGGAAAAGGACTTGGTGGATGAAAAGCTGGACATGAGCCAGCAATGCGCATTCGCAGCCCAGAAAGCCAACCGCATCCTGGGCTGCATCAAAAGCAGTGTGGCCAGCAGGCTGAGGGAGGGGATTCTGCCTGGTGAGACCCCACCTGGAGCACTGCATCCAGCTCTGGGGTCCTCCGCACAGGAAAAACACAGACCTGTTGGAGCAGGTCCAGAGGACGGCCATAAAAATGGTCAGAGGGCTGGAGCACCTCTCCTATGAGGAAAGGCTGAGAGAGATGGGGTTGTTCAGCCTGGAAAAAGAGAAGGCTGCAGGGAGACCTCATTGCAGCTTTTCAGTACTTGAAGGGGGCTTATAAGAAAGATAGGGACAGACTTTTTAGTAGGGCCTGTTGCAATAGGACAAGGGGTAATGGTTTTAAACTAAAAAAAAGGGTAGATTCAGACTAAACACAAGGAAGATATTTTTCACAATGAGAGTGGTGAAATACTGGAACGGGCTGCCCAGAGAGATGGCAGATGCCCCATCCCTAGAAACATTCAAGGTCAGGCTGGAGGGGGCTCTGAGCAACCTGATCTAGTGGAAGGTGTCCCTGCTCACTGCAGGGGCAGGTTGGACTAGATGACCTCTAAAGGTCCCTTCCAACCCAAACCATTCGATGATCGGATATAATATCTACCTGCAAAATTAAGCTTTGAGATGTTTCTGCCAAACCAGAAGAGAACTCCTATGGTGTGAAGATTGCTTTGAATCTGCTAGAGTGCATACAGTAGATACTGCAGTACTATGCTGTAACTAATCTGAACGCAAAGCCTTCCCTTAGACAAATCGCTTGAGATGAAATACAAATATATGTTATTTGGTTTAACAGACACTACATTTATTTGTGTACTAAGATTCTCACGTCAGCAAAAGGTTAATTAAAATCTATGCAATACAATCTAGACCATCTGGTAAACCAAGTATTTTAAAAAATACTCTTAAAGCAGACTATTTTAGACAGAAAACAACAAATGTGTCTATTTGTATGAAATGCTACATATGTGTCTCTCAGCCACTCTGATTAGTACTGTACAGACATCATTAGTCATATCAAAATTTGACATAATAACCAAGTAGATGTTAAAGACCTGCAGTACTAGAGAGAATGCGAAAGATCCGGGTGCGTGTTTTCTTAGGTTACTAAAAATCAGTATTTCCAAAAAAAAAAAAAAAAAAAAAAAAAGAGATGCTAAAACAAGCATATTCTAGACTTAGTCACAACTCAGTATTAGCATTTACAAATATTGTTAAAGGATATAAAGTTTAACCCTTTCAATGCTATTCAGTCCCTCAGATCTAAGCTCAACAGAGCCTTTCCTTCTCTGAGTATCAGAACATGATAGAAAATATCATTATTTTTGGACACAGTTACAGACAGAGTTTATTTGCGCTGTATCTCACATGTTACAACAGCAGTCTCTGAAAAGTTACAATCAAAAAGTATTGCATAGTGGAACTGATGAGACAATCTTCAAGAAAAGCATTTTTGAGTTATTAGACCGTAGCAAACGAAGAGGCTGTGCATCTGAGGTATAAAAAGCACAAGTAAAATTATTTCTAACCTTATGAGTAACTAAGCAAGGAGTCTGACAGACAGCTGAGAGTTACACCTCTCTAATGCCACCAGGTAAATCAGCAGCTTTAGGATGCAAGTCATGCATCCTTGATGATATTGTTAAATATATCACCACTGCCTCCTCCTGAAGCGGTAGTGTCTTCCATTCACATCAGCTCATCAACTGACAGGAATGTTGATGACAGAGAAGCTTACAAATACTTAAACAAAAAATTCAAATCAAGAATCCTGTATAAATCCTAAACCATTATGGGATATATGCACACACTAAAGTATTCTAACTGGTACGTGAGCAACTGAACGAGCATTAATTTATTGCCATATATTCTATTCAGGTTTTAAAGATTCTTCTAGCAATCTCAAAGATTTTTGTTTGAGATCCTGTAGATCTCAAGCTACTAGAGGAGGCAAATTCTACCTAGCAGTAAACGTAATGTTGTGTCAAATTTACAAACGCCTATAATTTTGACCTGCAATGCTAAAAGCCTGCTTAGACATCGGAAAATGTTTTGTTGCTGACAAAAAACAAAGTTATGACGATCCGTTGAGGGAGAAGGGAGGGTGTTACAAACTGAGCCCGCAGGACAAATGATTCATGCCAAACTACCTTAATACTCTCTCTCAGTTTTCATTTGGAGACTTACAATTATACAATGCACATTGTTGAACCCAAATCTTCTGGTTTCCCTCACCAAGGAAACAGTAAAAGCATCACAGAGGTGCTGCAGAACTACAGCAAAGAATGAAACGGCACCTCATAGCTTGCAGTAATCTGTGCTCTGTTCTTGTTTTAAACAGCATAAGAGAGGTGTAAGATATATTATGCACTCGTCGCTTGAGATAAAGTAAAAGGAAGATAATTTGATGAAACCGATGTTAACTAAAGATCCAGCAAGGGGAAAATATATCAGAGGAATAAGAGCAAGGATAACTAAGCTGTCCTAAGACAAGTTGCACAAAGCACTCTGAGCCACAAGGGAGGGCAGCATGTTCACAACCCCAAAGGCCGCCTCACCTGCACATAAACTTTCCAACAAGTAGAAAAGGGAAATACAAGTTTTAAAATGGTGGAGTAAATATGGCATATTTTTACCTACATGTCCATGGCACACCACTAACGATAAACGGAGTGTATGTGGGGGGGCTTCTGCAGGGTTCAGAAATTCCAGTACCAGCATGGACAGTTAAGCACAGAACAGTATCCTGAATTACTGACAAAATTTCTGCTGAAACCCTGCAACACCCAAAGCACATTCTGGGGGGGGAACAGTATTAAGCAGAGAAGTCCATACGGTTTTAAAAAAAATGACACTAAAGATAACAAAGGATACTTACTTCATTGTTTGCTATTTCACTTGGTGTTGGCCAGTTTGTGATATCACCAAAGTCACCAGCCTGCAAAGATGACACACAGTTTATACTACTTCCTAGATTTAGTCCTTTTATTAAAAAGACAACATGGAACATGTCAGTCGTGACTCAGATGGCCAGACTACCCCCTTGAGCAGAATTATTAGAAGCAGCAATTTTTAAAAACTGAGAAATACAACAGAAAGCAAACACACAACTTTCAAAACCAGAATATGAGCAAGTGTAGAAACAACTATTCATTGCAGTTACATCCAAACCAAGGTCCAATACATCTTAGCTTGTAATTAGTGTAACTGTCTAAAGCATGCCTTCATGAAGAGTATTTTAAGTGGGCACAGCCAAAAAAAAAGACAGCAAGCAAACAAAATTTTCTGCATTCTCGTATGAAACAAAGAGGGCTTATGACGTTTGAGCACACATAAAACAACTGTCAGATTAAATGTTGTTTTACACATAGCTTCCTATGTGATTTAAAGGTATCTAATACTTAAAAGCCTTTTAGCTTCTGGAAGACCTTTGAGCACAGGTATTATTCAATCTAGAAAGGGGTGGCTGTACAAAATTTTAGAAACTTAAGTTTTTCAAGAAAAGGATTCAGTGTCTCCTGTTGTGTCCGAATGATAATTTTATAATAGCACATAAAGCACATACATCACATAGTATGCAAAAAGGATTTCCAAAACCAATCTAGCATCGCTTGTGCTCAAGTGATGTTTCTTTGCAGCCCCTTCCCATTTTTATATAATCCCATCGCTTTTTTAAACAAAAGTGCCTTTCCTTATCCCTCATACATACACCACTTTAGCACCCCTTCTACTTTTAAACTTCCCTTTTATACTTTTCTCTGTCTTCAAAATTAACCATTGCCAATGCAGAACATAACACTCCTGGTTGTAGCTTCAAAATACCTTGCTTTCTTTTTTATTTTAGTAACATCAGCTATTTACCACATTGAATATTTACAGCCAGAAATAGTCCTTTGATATTATTTCATTTTCCTACTATATTATCAGCTGAGCTAAATGCTGGTTTAGTTTAACAGGTTAGATAAACCAGGACTTCTAACACAATCAGTCCAGTAACTCACAGCTCAATGTCCTTCTGGCAAATACAAACCTTGCTGCATTTCCTTGTCCTGGGTTTTGCTGCTTTTATAACTTTAGTGGAATTTTGTAGTTCTGAAAAGGAAGAAAAATGTTTTCAGAGGAAGAATTAGATTGCACTTTAAGAGTAAGGAAGGTATACTTTAACAACTCTGTTTAACTACGTATCGTACTACACGAAAGCTTTTTTGAAGTCAATGAACACTTCCATAAGGTAGCTAATAGTACATGGCATTGGAAAAAAAACTCACATTCATAATCTTAATAATAATCTTGAAAACGAGGTGTACAGGATACTGTATAGCAGTATTCAAGCATTTGCTCAGCTATAAGGTCAAGACTATCTAAAAATGCTAGTATTTTAACCTAAGAAGTAGCAAAGAAAATGAGACCCTGAAACACATTTAAAAAGTTATACCCTATTAGAAGCTATATTTATAAGTAGTAATTTATGAAATCTATCATTATGCAAGCATGAAGAAAAACATAGAAGCGATTACATATTTGCAAATTCCTAGTAATTTCCTTTTATAAGCAATTACTCAAATGCCAAATAAAATTTAGCCATATTGCTCATAATCAAGCCAAAGCAATGAAAAAAAATAAGGAAAGGCGAAAAGAGAAAATGGCTACAAAAACTACATTAAGACTATTAAATTTTAATGCCCAAATTCCATGATGGGTATGTTTATGACAAACATGAGCATGTGCAACAAAGCTGACAGTCATGCATTTTCAGAACTGTCCTGAGTCAAGACCTAAACTTGATCCCATCTGATCTCCTGAGCAAGAGACTTACTTCTACCAGCATATCTGCCAGGAATTAAAATAATGCCTGGAAATAATTCTCTCTCTCTCTCCCCTATACGGCAACAGTATTGGACCTAATTATCTAGGATCAATAACCTACACTGAAAAATAGAAGTCTATTTAAACTCACTATGTCTTTAATACGTGTGCAGTTACCCTTCTGCATATGAATCCAATTTTCTTATTCCATGCGGTTTTTCCTTACCCATCTCAATTGTGTTCTACTTTCTGCACTGGGAATTCAGGGGAAAAAAACCCACTAGCCATCAGGCAATTTTTCTTGGAGCTTAGAATTAAGACAGAGGAAACCACCTCTTAACTTCTCCTGTTAAGCCCTTGGCTCTGTTCTCCCAATACGTGTTTTCCCATAGAGGAGCAGTCACAACCTTTCCTTAAAACTTCTAATTAAGTATTTTATTGCAAGGCAAGCTGGAAACATTGAACATGACTGAAATCACTAGTGGATTATTATTTCATACAGGGATAACATCACCCCCTCAACCCTTATCTCTTTCACATCCAGTGACTAATCTTCCTTATCGCAGCTTCACACTGGGAACCCCACCCTCGTGCGCCAGTGACTGTGAAAACCCTCTGTCTGCTTCCTGGAATATACTGTGAACGTTAGAAGCATAAACTAATGTATACTCCATAGTCCACTGTAAATTATATTAATACTTCTATATACAACTTACGCATCACACAAAACACGTGAATTCGGCGAACCCCGATTGGCCTCTGACCCTTGCCATGTTGATTACCAGCAGGTTTTTTCCCCCCCTCTCCTACAAGTCTGCTTTTGTAAAACAAAGACAAAACACCCCCCCCCCCAACTGCCTCTTCCTTCTTGTTCAGCCTCAATTAACTTTAGACCGAGAGCTTTCAGAAACACAGTCCCTGTGTAACCCTGATTTTTACTTGTCATTCAATAGTAAACTAATTGACTTTTACAAAACAAGACAAACAGCTGCAGAGGTGGAGCAGCAAACAAATTTGTAATTTTCTCCAACAAAACTGCCAATTATCTGTGAAGGTAAACTGACTGGCCATAGCATTTGTCCTCCAGTAGCCTGTAAACACACATCTCTCTTCAGCTGTTCAATTACCTTACTGAAGCCCTTTTTCCATCTCACAGCACTTTTACTTAAATTGCTGCTGAAGGATTGCTCTGCCAGAACTTCTGCTCTGTGTGTCACCAGGGTGTAGCAAGGGATTCAAAAATAAAAGACTCAACGTCGCCACTGCGCTATCTTAGTCATGGGATATTGTTCCAGGCGGCAGAAGAGGCTATCCAAATCGAGGAGAATGAGACCCAACTCGTTTTCAGGAATCTCTCTTATCTGTATGCAGTAATCCCAAGACTTAGAAGGTGCATTTGCACACCAAATGAAAAGAAAACGAATATTAGGCAACACACCGCCTAGTTGATGATGCCCTTTCTGAACTCAGAGGCCTGCGATCTCACCACACTCCGTACTCCCCTACTCAAAAACAACTCCACAGAGTTTCTCGTCCTCCCAAAAGAGCCATGTTCAAAACCAAATTTAACTGATCTGTCCTGACCAGCTTTCTGGGGCTTATCGTGTGGGAGTTGGATTTTAGTGTGAAGCATGAAAGGGAAGATAAAGGGGAAGAAGAGGGGAAGAGAGGGAAAAAAAAAAAAAAAAGGAAACAAAAAGGGAAAAAAAAAAAGGTGGTAAAGAACAAAACATCAGATCACGTAGAGGTTTTACTCAGGTCACATCTGTTATGTTGTGATGAACAAGCCCAGAGCCACTGCTCAGGCACAACTTAGCCTAGAGAGCATTTAGATAAAAACTCTATGCTTGACATCACTCTGGTGTTCGGTTTCAACGCCACGTAACGGTGCCCAATACCCCAAACGGCGTCTTTAGTACATTGCTCCAGCAGAACCCACCAAGCCCTTGCAAATAAACTATTTCACTTACTGCTAATTCCAACCTAACTGTATCAAAATGGTTTATTCTGTCATATGCCACAAGGTAACCTGTTCAGTAACGGCATGCTGTGTTGATAAAAGAACTCAGTTATCTTTAATTACTTTACTTGCTGGGTTTCAGCTGAGTTTGGAAGGGGGGTGGGCAAAAAAATTAAAATCAAAGATGATGAAGTTTAATTGCCAACAATCATCTTTCAATGACTGAACTCCGTCCGGTAAAGATGCAATCCTCATGAAAACAGAAATCAGCCTTCAAAGCCATTTTTATTATGGTTCTTTCCATTCTCTTCATACACCACATCCTGACACGAGATACCTTCTGCAGAAAGACACGGTTATGCAAACATGCCAAGTGCGGTGTGTCAAGATGCATGGGATGACAACTCTGAAAAATGAAAGATGAATTTTGGAACCACCAAAACAGTAGCAATCCTCTGGGAAGAGAGCAACAGAAAAGGAAAAGCAGACTGGATGCTGTGCAGAGATAAGAGAAGCAAAGTTTGTACATAAAGATGTATCACCAAAGTACCACTGATTACAAGAGAAATTACGTTTTCAGCAGTAGTACTTCAGAATGGATGAAGTTCTGCAAATAAGTAGTCAACAAGTCATTTTTTTTGATAGAAGGGGAGGGATGATATTGCCAATTCCTTCTGAAAGCGAGGTCTATTCATAAAAGGTGCAACACTGATTTTGATACAAACACAGTTTGTGCTGTAAGGATTTCTAGACAATGTTCAAGTTTTATTTTTACTGGGACTGCACGTGTATTTCCTTCAGTGAAGGAACACCATCGCACAAATACCAGAAGTGCTTCAGGAGGCGGCTGAAGTCACCCAGCAGAACAGCTCTTCAAAACTTCAGTGGAACATGTTTCCTTTCAATGCTCAGTTTGAAACTTCACAGCATAATCTATTTTAAGCAAAGCAAGCTATACTTAAATCTCTTGTTTAAACACATAAATGTGAAAGTCTTGCAAAGGTGACAAAACAATCCCTTGGAGTACGTAATAATTTAAAGTGAGAGCATGGATTTAGATGCAAGATTCTGGGAAATTAGAAAAACAAAAAAAAACCCCAGTAATTATGCTAACATCCTTTCATACAATATTTCTAGCATTTTATAGCAAAACTACATTAGATTGACCTTCTTCACGCTATTGGAACAACTACCAAGGCAGCAAGTTATCACATCTGCATCCTTCTACCTATTCACATTGAAAACCAGTCAGTTCTTCAGTACAAGCAATAGGGGAAAAAAATCCCCAATACATGTTCGATTAATCATTACACTACTTATTTCCTTGCATTTCATTTCTCAGTTTTTTCTTAGCTCCTCCACAGAAAGCTGCAACCTGTGACTCAATTTCCACAAAAGCTTTCAGAGTCTAAAGGAAGCACGTGCTAGAGCGCAGCAAGCCAGTACTGTGTCTTGGCCTCTAGGCAGCAGGATGGGTTTCTCTCATAACAGGTTTCCAGTTTAAAAACAAACACCCACACACCCCACACACAAAATTGCTTCTGTTGTTATATACAACTAAACTACAGACAGCAGGTTTGTAAAGATAATGGTTTTAATCCCTTCAGGGTTGGGGTAATTGTCAATGTTGTGCCTTCTGATAATTCTTAAAATAATTTTTAAAAGCTGCTATACAAACAGTGAATTCATGAGAACTAACAACAATATCTGCCATAGATACACCCAAAAAACTTTGATAATCAGATCATTCATTAATCAAAAGCTTACCGTTTCTAGTAACACAGTATACCTTTACTAATCTGCACTTTTACAACCTGTTTGCTAACAGACTAAGGCAAATTAATTTCTCCAACAGCACTGCAGTGAACTGGTTCTGCCACCAAAATATCAATCAGATAAAAGGTGTTCTTTGATGCCCAGAAATAAACGCAATCAAGAAAGACAAACTCAGCACAATATAGAAGACTGAAGTGTGCAGTTATTTTAATTAACTACATCATTCAAGCACACTAAGAAGCAAACCCACTTCAACCACTTAAGCAGCGCAGGTATTTTGCTTCATTGAATACTTTCCTAAATTTCATGAACAGTTTTTGGAATAATTATCTAATGAATTATGAGAGACCCACATCAGCTGTGCAAATCACATGCAGATAGAGAACTCTATTCACATTCCCTTTTGCAAGCTTACAAAAAGGGCAGCGCTTTAGGTTTCATCCAACGAAGAGGCGGGAGAACTTTCATACTAAAATTACTTCAGTAACTCCATCCTGGGAAAATTATTTATATGGAGGAAGGGTAACTAGCCTCTTCCAGGAGAACCCAGCTCTGAGAGGTAGCTGTGGAAAAACAAGACTCTGAGGAAAGACAAAGAATACAGGACTAACAGTGGGTTGTTCCGCAGCTTCCATACGGACACATCTATCTTGCTGACTCAATTTAAAAAAAAGATGGTATCTCGTTACCTTTTAAAAAATTATCAACGAGATTATACAGGACTTCTTCCCTGCAACCATTCCTCTCCTCTTACTCAAAGAGCTTCAACTTGAAGTGAAGACTTACTGCAATATATTGGCTGGGTGCTACAAGGGAAGGCGAGGGGAGGAAGACACACCGCAGAAGTACCTTTCATCATTGTAAAAGCTGGGAAGCCTTTAGTCGGAAGCCTTTAGTCAGAAGCCTATTAATTTCACTAGCAATTTCATACTGCTACAAGTCTTTCTCCATGAGTTAAATGCAGACTAGGAGGTAAAAGTGTAATTCTGAAATTATTCTGTTTAAAAGAGACGTTTAATAAAAGGCTTAGTCAGAAACAATGAACTGTGGTAACAAACATACTGTGAAAAACTCAAATATGTTTACATTAGCTGTTTGGTTTACTATAGCACAATTAAAACCTACTAATGTATCTGAGACAAAAAAAAATAATAGGTCATAATAACAACGCTTTGACTGAATTCTTTTGCCAAGAATTTTAAGCCTTTTACATTACTTTTTGCCTTCTAGTGTTGGGTGACCTTAACAGTTTCTTTCAGTAACAAGAGTCAGTTTTGCCTCTATTACAAACTAATACCACGCTAAATTGAAAGTCAAAAGATGACAGACTGGGGTCAATTTTCTCAAGTGTGTAACTACCACTGAACATACCATACATGCACGTCTCGGGAAACCTTCAACAAATTAAGCCAGGATCAACAAGTTGAACAGGATTCAGTCACTACTTTGATGTGAGCTTCTTTTACGTTTTATTATCCTCTTTATGGATAGTTTTACATTCCATCCCAGTAGTAT